TCTCTCTCTCTAAGAAAATGTAGGTGAAGCCTAGTGCCTTTGGAGACCTGAGTTTCTAACCTCTAGAGGTGTGGAACTAGGGCAAAGAGCTCCAAAATTGAAGTTCCTTCTACCTGAATTTAGGTTCTAGCCTAAATTCTTGCTCTTTTGAGTGGTTCTGCTCTAGCTCTGAGCATGGGAGACATGGAAGAGCAGAGAAGGGTAGCTGCAGAGGCTTGGGTTCCAACTGGTATAGCTGCTTTCTCGCATAGTTAGTGTCTTACTAGCATTCTTCCCTGTCTGTAGGATGAGGGTAATGGTGGCACCAGCTTCTTGGGGGCTGTAGGAGTGTTCAGCAAGAGAACCTGGGGAAAGGTCTTGAATTGGGGCTATGTTCAGGGTGAATAGTACTGCCACCAGAGCTGCTGTGATACTAGTGCTTGTTCCTTTGAGTAGCACTGTTAAGAGTTGCAGAGAGCTGTTTTCTTAACAGATTGTCAGTGCATACCTGAGCTGCTGCCCAAGAGCAAGTATTGGAAGTACACAATAAATGTAGTTTTAAATGTTTAATGCCAGCCAGGCATGGTGGCATATGCGTTTAATGCCAATACTCAGAAGGCAGAAGCAGATGGATCTCTGTGAGATTGAGCCCAACCTGGTCTTCATAGTGAATTCCAGGCCAGCTAGGGCTCAAAAACAAACAAAAGTTAATGCCAGACATGTCAACTGATTCCATTTACTTCCTATTGTAAAAAGAACAGTGATAAATATGGATGTGCAGGTATCGCTATAGTAGGATAAACCTTTATTTGCATATATGCCTAGGAGTAGTATAGCTGGGTCATATGGTAGTTCTATTTTTAGTTTTCTGAGACAATACCACATTGATTTCCACTGTGGCTGTAGTTGAGAGTGTGACTAGTTTACACTCTCAACAGTGGGTAAGAGTTCCTCTTTCCCCATATTCTTACCAGTATTTGCTGTCATTTTCTTGACATGGCCACCATTGTCACTGGAGTAAAATGGGATCTCAGAATAGTTGTATATACATACAATGGAATTTCATTCCGCAGTAAAGAAAAATGAGATTATGATATAAATTTGTAGGAAAATGGATGGACCTAGAAAACAGAAATGAGGTAACCCAGGCTCAGAAAGACAACTATCATATGTTCTACATACATATCATATGTATGTAGATCCTAGCCTCTGCCTGTTAATTATGTGTATCCAGGTGGGAGAAACTGTGGATAAGGCCAGGAAACTGGAAAACAGCCCAGCGTATTAAGAGGAAAAAAAAAAAAAAAAAAAAAAAAAAAGTCTCCTAAGGGAGTGGGGATGGGAAGGCAGAAGGCAGTAGAGCAAAGAGGAAGGGAGAATACTAGAAGGCAAAAGGGCACAATTGGGGAAGTAGGGGCAAGGAGATGGGAGTGAGAGTGAAAAATCAATGAAGTCCTGAAATAAATCTAACCAAAGAAGTGAAAGATTTATGTAATTAAAAACCTTAAATAAAAAAACTTGAAGAAATTGAAGTATACCAGAAGATGAATGACTTTTCATGCTTATGAATTGGTAGGATTAATATTGTTAAAATGGCATCCTGCAAAAGAACAGTCTACAGATTCAGTGTAAACCCCATCAAAATTCCAGCACAATTCTTTGCAGAAATTGAAACAATAATCTTGTTTTATATAGACGCACAAAACACTCAGGATTGCCAAAACAATCCTGAACAATAAAAGAAGAACTGGAAGCACCACCATTCCTGATTTCAAGTTATACTACAGAGCTATAGTAATAAAAACAGCATGGTACTGGTATTAAAAGATACGGAGGCAAAGGCAGGCGGATCTCTGTGAGTTCAAGCCCAGCCTGGTCTACATAGTGAGTTCCAGGACAGCTAGGGCTACAGGGAGACCCTGTCTCAAAAAGACCCCCCCCAAAAAAAAGATACGTTATTAATGGGATAGAATTGAGAACCATATTTAAGTCAATGCACTTACAGCATTTTTGGCAGAAGGGGCCAAAAATACATGTTGGAGAAAAGGCAGCATGTTTAACAAATGGTGCTGATCAAACTAGATAGCTACATGTAGAAGAATGAAACTAAATGACTGTTGCTCACTCTGCACAAAACTCCAAATGATTCAAGGACCTCAACATAAGACCTGATACCTGCAGGCAGCTAGAAAGAAAGTCAAATGATGTAGCCCCTCTGGGAAGTAGTCTGGCAGTTTCTGAAAGAGTTAAACCTGTAATTCCCATTTCACCCAGAAGTTCCACACCTAGCTATCAACCTGAAAGCAGCCAAAGTGTGTGTCCATTCAGACATGAACTTGAATGTTCATAGCAGTATTGCTTACAACAGCCCCAAGTGGAAACAACCAAAATGTCCATCAGTGGGGAAACAGGGAAACAAAGTGGGGCCCATCCATATAGTGGGCTACTGTTCAGCCTGGAAAAAGGTAGTTGTTGAACCTTTAGAGTATGCTGAAGGAAGAGCTTCCAGACCCAAAGGACTGCACACCATGTGGTTCCATTTGTATGGAGTATCAAGTGAGTATGTCTTGACAGGCAGAAAGAGATTGGAGGGAGGCAGGGAAATGATGGCTAGTAGTCTGAGGTTTGTAGGGTATGTATTGTACAGCTTTGTGAATGCTCAACAGCCATTGAATTATACTTTGTAAACAGGTTGTATGATATGAATTACATCTCAGTAAAGACACTATTAAAAAGAAAAGTAAGGGGGCTGGAGAGGTGGCTCGGTGTTGCTCTTGCAGAGGACTTGGGTTTGGTTCCCAGCATCCACATGGTGGCTAACAACCATTTGTAACTCTGTCGTAGCTTCTACAGGCACTGCATGCATGTGTTTCATGCTGACAAACCACTTATACACATAAAATACACACAAAATCAAAATAAAGTAAGTGCGTGTATGTGTGTGTGTGTGTGTGTGAGAGAGAGAGAGAGAGAGAGAGAGAGAGTGTGAAGAAAAATAAGAATGAGACCATTCAGTTTTGGAACAGAGTTTCTTTCCACCTTGCTGGAAGCTCCATTTGTAGATTGGGCTCTAGAACCATAACTCTCCCCTCCTTCCATGATATTCCCTGTTTATGCTGTCTTATGTATGCAGTAGGATTCAGTAATGGGGCATTAGAGGTATCAAAGAGATTATGGCTAAAAATGAAAGTTACTTTCCATCCTGTCCTCATTTATGTCTTTCTGGTTTTTAAGACAGGGTCTCTATGTAGCCTTGGCTGATCTGGAACTTGTTATGTTCAGGTTGATCTCAAATTTGCAGCCTCTTCCACCCCCCACCCCCCAAGGGATTACATATGTACACCAGTGTGCTTGACTGTCTTTGCCTTTTATTGGCAATTTTCAATCTGTTTCTGGAAGGAAATGGAGTCAGTGCTTTACACATGAGGCGACTCAGGCCTCAGAAGTAGAGTTTGGAAGCTGAGACTACAACTACACCCAGCTGCGACGCAGGGTCATTGACTCATGGTCCAGTGCCCAGTTACTATGCAAGAGGGAAGAGTGGGCTGTAGAGACCATGAACAATTTGGGGACACTGAAGCCTCAAGCAGTCATCTAAAAGGCTAGCATCTTTAGGAAGGACCACTCATCTAGCTATTCGACCTCAGTGAGCGTCTCAAAGTCTTCCTGGTTTTGGTTTTCTATTTCTAAATCCAGTGTGTGTTCTCCCCCACCCCACCCCCACCCGCCAGGCAGGTGTAGGTGGGCCTCTGGCTGTACCTCCCAGCACCATAGCAAGTACTCAAGGATGTGACTCTGCCCTTCCCCCTCCTTGCATCTTTATATATTTAAAAAAAAAAAATCCTTGCCTTTCTCAATTAACCCTCTAAGACTAGGATCTACCTGCTGTCCTCACTGAGCTGTCCCCTTCCTCGTACTGTCCTGTCCCTTCCTCCAGTGCAAGCCAGGATACTTTTAAGTAGGAAGTGAAGTCTAGGTGAGTATCTTCTGAGAAAGCCCAGCCTAGCCTGCCCTTCCTTGGGTGGGTGGGTAGAGGTGGTATTGTGAGGCCTGAGGGCTAAAAGGAGACAGTGGGTACTGCTGGAGACTGGGAAATCTGGCACCACCTCTCACTGCCTCCTTTGAGTAACTACTTATTTTGTCCTTACAGCCTACCACCCTCCCTCAGGGTACCATCAACATGAACCAGTGCACAGATGTGGTAGATGGGGAGGGCCGTACAGGACAGAAGTTCTCCCTTTGCATTCTGACACCTGACAAGGAGCATTTCATCAGGGCAGAAACCAAGGAGATCATCAGTGGGTAAGTTGTCCCTAGCCCCAAGAAGCATTGTCTGCTTATCTACCCCTGCCACCTTGTACTGGGCCAAAGTTCACCTTCAGCAGAGTGGCCCATGGGAGATTCTCTTGTGGCATTGTCTACCCAAGTAGTTCTTCCTCTGAGCCCCCTTGTCTCTCAGCACCACCTTATCCCCCTTTCTAGGCTTCCATTCCTGTGCCTCACCCCTGCTCTGTCCACACACTCGGCAAGCTGCCCTTGTGTTCTGCAGACTCCAGGGCTACCAGGTCTTCCTCAGAATTCTTCACTGGGCTCTCTACCTGTTGTGTGCCCTCCTCCCCAGGAGAGGCAGTCTTCAAGGTGTATTCACCCTGCCCTTCCCAACTTGGCAGCACCCCCTCCCCTATCCCTGTGCCTCATTCAGACTCAGCTGCATAGTGCCATTCTCTTCCTCCTATTTGGCAACCCTTCTGAAGAGTGTATCCTGTACAGCACTGAAAGCTCCAAATGATCCATATGCATGTATTTCCTCAGTGGTGGCCCTCGAGGATAGAGATTACTCTGTCACATCCCCCAGGGCTCATACATGAGCTACACTGCTGCCACTGCAGGGACTATCTTCTTTGTTCAAGTAGAAAAAACGGACAGATCTCTTGTTCACCTCAATCCTCTGAGCAGAGGTTTAGGGAAAGCCCTGTGAGTTGGGTCAGGTTTTGAGGCAGCTGACAGTTCTAAGAAACATGAGCTCTGTGTTCCTGAGCTTCCAGGTGACTTGACATTATTAGTAGGGCATTTGTTGCATGGGTTGGGCCATGATGAGAAGCTATGCATGGTTTTATATAGCAGGTTCTGCAAGTCTGGACAGAACTTGGGAAGTAGAGTTCAGAGACTCCCACTCATCCTAAAACCTGGAAGAGTATAGGTATATTGAGGCTTTGGAAGAAAGCACATTTGGAAGTTGAAAGGAACTGACTCTCTTACAGGGTGGAGGGAAGTGGGGAATGAAGCCCTTTGGTTTGAGCAAATACAAGGCTTATTATGAACACTGCCTTCTGTTAGCATCAACTGTAGGCAGGCTGTTAGGAAAGCCAGCCAGTGCTAGCTAAGGGACACCCTCTGTTGGGTGACTGAGAGTTCTTTTTAAGTTCCTGGTGACAAGCTGGAGGAATACATTGTCATGTTTCCATGAGCTTAATCCTGAATCACTCAGGGTCTCTAGGGCTTCTAAAGAACACATGCTCTGCTTTAAGCAGTCTGAGGGTGGGTAATGGGAGCAGTCAGGTATGAATGGCATTATGTATACCTTCCTGTACCTGCTGCTGCCTGGCCTGACCTAACAATCTGCCCCAAGTGAATCTTCCTAGGGAAACTTACTACCCCAGGCTTGGACCTAGGGAAGAGCTTATATGACAGTTGGGACAGAAAAGAGGTGGGTCTGAGGTCCTCAAGGCAGGCAAGGGAGTGTCTGGAACTGGGTCATTGGTACCATGTGGTTCAGAGAGAAGTGATATTTAGCATCTGACTGGTCCCTCTTATTAGAGGTTAACTTGGGGTTCTGGCTCTACTCTGAACCCCTCTCCTTGGTTTCTCTGTTGTCTCTTCTTTTAGTATGTACCATGGGGGCCTGCTGGGTAGACATGGTTATTAATGATCGTTAACTGACCAAGGTACTGAAGGCATTGTGGCCTTGAGCTCTTGCATGGACACTGGTATTTCTTGGTGTCCACAGCTTGTGTGGTGGCTCAGTGGCAAAACCACAGAACAGGTTACCTAAAGCTCTTTCAAATCCCCTCGTTCCTAAGCTCCTCTTTGACTCAGGCATCAGCTTCTTCAGCTTCCCCACATGCTGGGACTCCTGGTCCCCATGGGAGTCATGTGAGGCACAAGTGTCCTAGGAATAGGTGCTTCTTCCTTCACCTCTGTTTCTTCTTGTCCCTTGGTGCCCTCCCCAGGCCTCTTACGGGCTCTTCATCTGTGTGCTCCAGGCTCTGTAGTAAGCCAGCATGCTCTGGTCACACCAAAGATAGGTTCCTGAGGAGAAGAAGATAACTTTAACTAGGCTGGATGGAGGAGAGCAAGGTATTCTAGTTTGTTTTTTGTTGCTATGATAAATACCATGACCAAAACAACTTGGGGAGGAAAGGGTTTATTTCAGCTTATAGTACAGTTCATCATCAAAGGGAGTCAGGGCAGGAGCTCAAAGCAGGAACCTGGAACAAGAACTGAAGCAGAAACCAAAGAGAAATGCTGCTACTGGCTTACTTTCTCTGACTTGCTCAGCTGCCTTTCTTCTACATCCCAAGTCAATCTGCATAGAGATGGCATTACCCACAGTAGGCTGGGGCTTCTCATATCAATTAGCAAGTGAGAAAATTCCCCACAGACATGCCATAGGCTAGCTGTTGGAGACATTGACCTCTTCCCAGGTGACACTGTCTAGCTTATGTCAAGTTGACAAAAACTAACCAGCACACAGACAAAAACTAACCAACACACAGTACCCAGCATTCCTCCATGACATTACTCTGAAACTGGATGAAGGAAGGTAGGTGGTTCTCTCTCTGGTTCCCATATGCTCAGGAGTTAATTTCAAGCTGCTAGAGCTACACTTGATGCAGTTTTTCTAGAGGAGGTAGCTAATTTTTGCTCTCTGGCTCAGCTAGAGACTGGGATTCTCTTCTCCCTACCCTGCCATCTGCTCTGCCTACAGCCCTATTCTCACTGACCTATTTCTTGTCTTCTAGAATTGGGGAAATCTGGTATCCACCAACCTCATGTCCTTTTACTGACCTTTCTTTCTTTGCTAGATTTTGTTGTTGTTGTTGTTAACATTTTTTAACACATCTGGATAATGTTAGACACTTCCTACTGGGCTTCCATGACTGAGCTACTTGCAGCTGAGTATGGTAGCACACAGCTATAATTCCAGTACTTGGGAGACTAAGGCAGGAGGGTTAGGAATTCCAGGAAAACCTGACAACCTGGGCTACATGACAAGACCTTATTTTTAAGTGGGGCGG